TGTTCTGAGACTGGTTTGTTTTTTGGCTCAGTAGACTTTATTCTACTTTAAGATGTCATTCCTCGTAAGAGATCGAATATATATAGGATATCCTATCAAGCCTTTGTCTATAAATGCAGGTCTATTCGAATAGACATGATCTATTATTTACACAGCAATCTAATGATCTTTCCTCCTGAAACTTTTTGGGCAAATCTTAAAAAACCTTTTTTGATTTGGCCATACTGCCTGGAACTCTCATATCAGAGTGATTGCTATAGTTTAATTTCAACCAAACTTCACCCTTACCTACTTTCACCTGAGAGTGGTCAGCTGTTTCATGAACTAGGGTATTATATATCTACATATATATATATTATTCTTGTTTTTGCAAAAAATGTTCAGTTATTATGAAATTGCTGTACAAAGATTTATAATAAAGACTAATTGCCTGTGACCAGATTCAGATTATAAGGATAGAAGGCTCTTGTTACCTATACTAATCCTTACGATATCTATCTCTGAAGAGATCTAATTTCCTTTTGAAAGCGTTCATCTATGGAGCTGTTACTAATGAATCAGGTAAGGAGTTCCAGTCGTTGATCACTCTGTGAGAAAATCTAAATTCCACAGGTATTTTGTCTGACCTTGGTTTGAGTACCTTCTTGTGGTGACATTGTAAGACTATCTTAGAGGGAGAGGAAAGATTTGAAAGCTCAATCCGTAAATCACCCTTGAATATATAGTGAGCCAAAATTAAGTCTCCTCTCCTCCTTCGGTATGATCATGGGAAGAGATTTAAATGCTCTATCCTCATGTCATAAGGAAGGTGTGAGTTACCACTAACTAATTTGTTTCCTACCCTCTATACTCTTTCCAGGATATATGCCTCCTTTTTGAAGCATGTACTCACTGCTTTTATGCAGTATTCTAGATACTGCCTGATATATGTTCCATAGAGTACTTGGAACATACCCTCGTCTAATCGTTTGAAAGGCCTTAGCTGTGGCTCAATTACAATTTGCCGTTGTTTTTAATTCATGGCTTACAATAATTCCTAAGTCCTTTTGTCGCTTAACATCTGGCAGTTCTGTGTCCCCTAGGGAGTACGACGTGTAAAACCTCTGACCTAAGTGGATTGCCGCGCTTTTCTTGGAATTAATTTCCAGACTTCAGAGGTTAGCCCATTCATCTAATTTATCTAGATCATTTTGTAGTACCAACCTACCATCGTTACTATTTACGGTTTTCCATATCTTAATATCGTCGGCAAATAATGAGGAAGATGGGCTAAGAATTTTCGGCACTTCATTTACGCATAATAGGAATAGCAGGGGGGCAAGTACAGTTCCCTGAGGTACTGTCTTCCACCCTAACAGTACACCATTAACCCTTACCTTCTACCTTCTATCCATCAGATAGTCGCTAAACCACTCACATAGGCATTGGTTTAATCCAAAACGTTTGAGTTTACTAAAGACAACGTCCAATAGATGTTTCTTATCCTTGGCTTCGGCGCTGTCTTCCCTAGCTAACAGTAAGTTTGTCAGGCAAGATCGTCCAGGTCGGAATCCATGCTGTTCCACCGCCAGAAGAGTTTAGTGTGACGACAAATGAGTTATCAACACATGTAAGTGACAGATAGAAAGTCCATGCCACTTCTGTTGTTTATTTATTCATTTGGCTGTGTAGTAGAAATAAAATGAGGGATGACTCCAGGAAACGGAAGAAGTATTGGTACCCATTTTTCACCATACATCAACAAGACGGTGATTTCTTTCTTGCTTCTTGAACAGAAACACTACGTTTTGATAGAATCAATGGAAGCCCTCTCTTCCAAATACCCCCCACTCGAGTGTACAGTTGTTTCTTTCTCCCAGACTGCTAGTTTATGAATAATATTAAGTTGTCCTAATCAACCTAACAACCAGCTACTGCAAGCACATAGTAAACTGTACACTTCAAATAAAAAGACACTGATGTGTTGAATAAAGACATCTGTGGTATATTGTGGGCTCCAACGACTCGTCGAATCACCGCATCAGTCATAGTCTTTGAGCGTCGATACGGGTTAGTGACGGTCTACCCATCGTGTAGCGTCTTCCATTGCCACCACCTGAAAGCTTTGATTGCCATTGTATATCTTCGGAAAAGATCCCATTACATCCGCATACCATAAATCATCCACTGCTGTGACTGATATCGGCCACAGACACAATTATGTGCATTCATCCCCCTTCATTAACTGATACTACAGAAATCCCAGTACATATTTTGTAATATCTGTCATACCTAGTCAGTACATACTTTATCTCAATAGCTCAGTTGGTCTGGCTACGCCTGTATATGCTAGCTGGTAGAATTCTTCTATCATCTCATAGCGTAAGAACTGAGGTTTTACCGACAACCAACTTCTAATGTCCTACCGCCAATTCGAACTTTCGTAAGCGTCCAATCTTAATATATCCTGTCTGAGTTGCTCCCCATTCACCGTAGATCGATTTACTTCCATTCTGTGACTAATCACCTGTATCACTGTTCAAGATAGGATCTGACTTTTGACTAAAGGCAACTCTTAATGGATCTTATTCCCTGAGTCTCTTAAGTCACTTAGTGTTAAATCCATTAGTACATGTATGATGAAACTAAACAGAAATATGGACAGTGGTGAGCATCCCTGACGGACACCACTAGTTGTCAGCACTTCAGATGGCAACTCTCCATAAGCTCTCACCTGACTAACTGCATAATTTCGAGTAGAGTGCATTTATTAGTGAGATGTATTTTTATGGCACCGACCTGAGCATAAAACTTCTTTAACCACAGACGTTCGCTTTCTATCTCACGGGTTAAGCGGTATAATATGGTGAGTAGTGTTAGGTAAGGTTCTGAAGCAATATCGATTGAGATAGCTAGAAGACGTGTTGTGCATGCCAAGCTACCCCTTTCCTCGACGAGAAACGTTAGCGTACATAAGATAGGTTGAAAAAGAGTTAGTGACTGTGAAATCAAACCCTGTGATAAATCCATGAAGCTTTTGACCACTGTTTCTAACCGTGTAGGGAAGTGTAGACTTTCTGATTAGTTGGGGTCCTTGATATGCTAAGAACCAACCAATGGCTAGAGACTATTGATGCTGATATGGCTCAAAATCGTTCTCAATGGATGGCGTAGATGTGTTCACTCTCTGTGGTCTCCTATATCCTCTAAACCGTCCCTCATATTTCTGCTAGTAGTAATAATTTTTGAACCCGATTTCCTCTTTGTTTTTTTTCTACATGAAGTGTGAAAAATTCAGCTGCTGCACTTGCGTGCAAAGTTCTGTCAATTATAAAGCATCCACAATGTTTTAAGATCACTTCACCATTTCTAAAGCTTATGGAAAAACTAGTACTTCTTAAACTCGAACGCCCCCTTAAAAGCTTTGAAGACCCCAAACCATTTGCTTGTAGACAAGGTAGGAGCACTTTAGACGCTGCAGTCGTCGTACATAACAGTATTGTCTCATCATTGGATAAAGGTGCAAATACGTCCGCTGCACATTTCTCGACTTCACTTCTGGTTTCGACTCTGTACCTGGATGTCTCTTACTAAATACGCTCTCTATGACACAAACTGAGTCCTGGGTCACTAACTGGTTGCATTCCTACTTCTCTAACAGAATGCAGTATACTGTATACGAAGGCAAATCCTCCTCTGCTGTGCTCACTGAAGCTGGTGTCCCCCAAGGTGCCGTACTCTCCCTACTTCTCTTTTCTTTCTTTCTACATGACCTAACATCTTCAAATGACATTAATTTTGTCAAATATGCTGACAATCTGACTGTATCTTTGCTTGTCAAATGTCAAAGTGACTGCTCCAAACTAAATGGCTTTTTATCAGAAATCAGTCAATGGTCCAAGGAAAATGGTCTTACCTTAAATCCCTCCAAATGCCAAACAGTCAATTTCACCTTTAGGTATAAATCTGACCTAAACAAACTGGTTAACACTCACGAGGTGTGCAACATAGATTGCACTGAAATAGACACAAGTCGGAAATTAAATATCTAGGCGTCATTCTATCTTCTGATCTTTCCTGGTCGTCTCATATCTTGATGATTTCTAAGAAAATATTCCGTCTTACCTTCTACATCAAGAAGCTAAGACATTCTAGAATAACCCAACCCTTACTCTTGCGATTCGTTAACTCTTGCATCCTGCCTATTATTCTGTATTGTACCCCCTTAGTTTTCCCAGGGCTTCTAAAGAAAGACTATACCTTATTATGCAGGATGTTAAAGGTTGTCAGCAGGGTAAGCAACGTGCCGCTTAACCAGCTTGTTAATATTCTGGTTGACAGGCACATGTGGACTGGACTCATGTGAAAAATGGGCTAAATCCATTCTATATATCTAACTCACACCACCCTCTTCATTCACAACTCTCCCCTTGTATCCCATTAGGAAAAACCAGAAGCCTATATAGAAAACTATATCTTCACACTAGTAAGTACAAAAACTCAACTATACCCTACTTAGCTCGTGTTCTGTGCGATAAAGAAAGCATTAGACGTGAAACCTATAACTTATAGTCAGTAGAACAACTGGATCTCGTCTTTCCAACTCATATCATTTATAGGTACAATGTTTTCTTTCTTTTCTTTTTCTCTCTTTTTTCTTTTCTCTGTTGTGTGTTGCTTTGTTTCTTTCTTCTGCTTACGCCAGTAAATATGCTAGTATCTACTTTTCTAACACCTTCAAACACTCCGTTCAATTTTGGCTTTGCTACCGACATGCCCATATGTTGTTGTCATAATGAACTGTACTAACTGAATGCAATACTGTAGTGAAATGCTGAGAATTCCATTCGGTATCACAACTACTGTTTTGGAATAAAGCAAATTATTATTATGATTATTATTTAGGCATATAATGTATTTTATGTCACTAAATCAAGTTTTATTTATCACATAACTCTGCGAATATTACCTATCCTTCATCTAAATTCCCGTTGTTATCTTTCTTGGCTTTTAGTGGTGGTATGTCATGTGTTGATAATGATGCCAATAACAATGATAATAATAATGATGAAATACAAAGCTTAGAAATTGAATTCCTTTCTTCAATGTTTGATGGTACTCCGAATTCCGCCATCTTCAACTATGATAAGCTATCAAGGCATGGATCGTTCACATTTCATCCACACTTTAACAAACCTATTGAAATGTATGGACCAGTAACAAGAATCAAGCTAAGGAATACGTCAACTGTGGAGCCTTCAACATCATCAGAAGGTGATAAAACATGCTGTTGTTACCTTCTACATTATTTACCCGCCCTTATTATGACATTCAACCTCCCGCTGAATTATCCTGGAGATATTCCAGGTGTTTGTATCCCTGAATTTTCTTTATCCTCAATCTGGTTGCCAATATCTATCCTCAATGAATTGAAAGAGAGACTAATTGAAATAGCCAATCAGAATCTTGGTGAAATGACTCTGTTGTCGTGTATAGAATTCCTACAAAATGAATCTTTTGACTATTTGATGAAACAAGCTGGTGAAAGTTGTCAACAAAAGCAAACCTTTAATCTTTTCAATTTTTATAATGAATACTCTTGCAAAGATGATATATCTCTGCCACTGCAAGACTGTTGTGATCTCCTGCTGTCAATTAATGAAGATCGATTGGATATTGATTATGATGAAGCATTTATTGAATGTCCTGTATGCTTTGAAATTAAAAAAGGCAGTGAATTTATTCGTTTTATGAAATGTAAATGTTCGATTTGTCGTGATTGTACACTGGAGTGTTTTAAAATATCAATAAGAGAGTCATTGTTTAACGGTGCCTTGTCTTGTTTGAAGTGCAATGAAGAAGTTAGTCATTCAGAGGTGAGTATCAGCTTAAAATACTGCTGCAGTTATTTTTTTTACCCTTTATTATTAAACTTTTGACAGTTGAAAGTGCGCATTAGTTCGCTCTGTCCTTCTCCGTTTATGACTGTGAGATGTGGGCATTGAAAGTGGGAGACATGAAAAGGTTAGCTGTCTTTGATGACAGATGTTCGATCTTTATCTCACGTGTTAAGTGGTATAATATGACCAAAGGGTGTGTGTGTGTGTGCACTCCTCAGCAGTTCACTCCGTCCTCCTTTACGACTAGCTGTGAGAGATGACCATTGAAAGTGGAAGACATGAAAAGACCAGCTATCTGTCTTTGATCATAGGTGCCTACGTTCTATCTCCCGTGTGAAGTGGTTAGGCGTTTAGTGCTAGGTTTAATAGGGGAATTCAATAGACAAGGCTGTGAAGTTACATCGACTGAGATGGTTAGGATATGTGTTTTGTGTGTCTAGCCATCGTCTTCCTCGACGGGCAATGTTGACTGACTGCCATAAAACGAGGTTGGAAAACAGCTAGTGGTGTGGCGGTCAAACCAAAATATGGCTTCATCAGTCAATGAAATCCACAACAGTTAGTTTAAGCCAACCGGTCACGTAAGGAGGTGCAGGCTGTCTTGGCTGGTCGGGGTCCTTGGGATGGTGAGAACCAATGGGTTGAGACAGTTAAAATCCTTGTTGTCAATGGCGCTGATGTATCCACTGCTTGTGACTTATAATAACCAATGAAACTATATTTTCCTTTGATATTACTATTCTTTTTCCCTCATATCTCTGTTTACTGTCTCTGTTTTGCATCTTTGTTTACTTTCTTCTCTTGCTTTGTGTGCTAAGTGAAGTGTGGTGACTCGAACTGTTGCACATTTGTGCAAAGTTCTACGTTGAAACGAGTCAATCAGTCAGGTATAATATGATGAACAGTATTGAGGTTAAGAGTAGTGTTAAGTGAAGAGAGAAGGCCAGTCGATGAGGTTTTAAACCTACATTGATCGAAGTAGCTAGGACATATGTTGCACATACTGAGTTCCTGTGTTCCTGGATGAGCGGTGTTAGCTGACATCTGATTAGGTGAGAAAAGAGTAAGGCGTGATCAAATTAAACATACTATGGTATCAGTCTATGAAGTTTTTGACTGTTGTTTTTTAGCAGCCAAAAAGTAGGGGATGGTGTAGACTACCTGACTGGTTGGTATCCTCGAAATGTTAAAATCCAATGACTAGAGACTATTAGTGGTATGGCTTAAAATCGTTCTCATTGGCACAGATGCATCCACTTCTTGTGGTATCCCATGACCCCTAAGTTTTTCCAAATTTTTATTCTTTCGGATGCACTGGTGTGAAAAGTTTTATGTTGAAACTCAGTCTGTCAGTCGGTCAATCAATACAGTAATGACGATCCACACAGAGTTGCGTTTGTGTATAAGAATTACAGGGAGTGTGACTACTACTGTTGCTAAAGTGATAGAGTTATAAATTATTATTATTATTATTTCCTGGAGGAACATAGGGCTTCAGCCTCACGTCTCCATTGCGTTCGGTTCTCTGCTGAAGTTTTCTCCTGACTCCAAGTCTGCTCTCATCTCCTCTTCACATGACCTCCTCGAAGTCACCCTTGCACTGACGACCGACTCGCCGCTTCCCTTTCGGGTTCCACTCGAGCGATGGCCTGGCGTGTGATGCCACTTGATGGCTTGTTTCCTCAGAGTATGGCCAGCCAGTCCACCTCCATTTCTTCCTGCTTATTCGTTGCACAATCGGTTCCTGGTTGGTTCGCTCCCAGAGATCCCTCCCTGTTGCTGATCTTTTCTGGCCGGCCATCTGATCTTGAGTAATGAGCGGAGACATCTGTTGATGGTGTGTAGTGTGTTTGAGGTGCCCTTCGTCACGCACTGGCCAAGTTTCTGATTCGTACAGTAAGTATCACTGACTTCACATTGGAGTTGAAAATCCGGATCTTATTTTCATCTTCATGCTGAGTAATGCTGCTGATCTCCACACAGACTTGAGAGTAATGAAGGCTTGTCTTGCTTTTCCGATTCTGGCTTTGATATCCTCGTCAGTTCCGCCTGTAGTTGAAATGATGCTTCCTAGGTAGGTAGGTAAAGGCAGTTGTTTCTTTCACGTTCCTCCCATTTATGCTGGCTGATTGTTGTCTGTTGTTGTTGGTGTTGGCTAGGAATCTTCATTACCACATCTGTTTTCTCTATGGTCACCTGAAGTCCTATCTTTGATGCATCTTCTGCCAACTTGTTGCTTTTCACTTGCATATCTTCCAGTTTGTGAGAAATCAGACGTATATCATCATCGGCGAAGTCCAGATCCTCCAAGTTTTTTGTGTGGGTCCATTTTATGCCCGTTTTCTCGCTGCCCACTGTCTGTCTCATTATCCAATCTACTGCAATCAGGAAAATCATTGGCGATAGTAGGCAGCCTTGTCTTACTCCGGTCTTTACTTCGGAGTTATAAATAGTTTGAACTTTTCTCTCTATTTTATTTATTTATTTAAACGCATAAAAGCTTGGTACAATATGGCACCAAGAAGGATGCGCCACACAATAATAATAAAACAACATAGTTTAAAAGTAAAAATATAAGTAGAGAATGGATAAAGAACTTCATCTGGAAGGAAGACAGTCATGCTTAACAAGTTCAAACAGTGTTCGTTAGCTATCATCGGGAAAGGAAGAAAGAAGGAAATTGCAACACGTTCGACATTGATTACCATTCTTGGCCACATCCGATGACATTCCTAGCCATCGATTTGAGCTATCTCTCGGACCCCAACCAGGGAGTCGTGATATACCAACCGATGCTAATCTAGCACAAAAATCCTTCATCTCACGACGCCACGTCATGGACTGACCACCTCTCCGCCTTTTACATCCCGTCCCAGGTCTGGCTAGCGAACAGAGACCTGTACGTAAGCCTCTGGGATGACATTCGCAGCACATATTCAAGCCACCAGAGTCGGTGTTTCCAGATGACGACACTCAATGAATGGAGATCTCCACTGTGTTCAAACACACGCCGCCAAACCTCAGAATTACTCACGCGATGATTCCATCGAACGCAAGTAATCCTGCGGAGACAGCGGTGATCAAACACGCAGAGTCGCTGCACATCCTCAGCTCGGAGAGGCCAGGTTTCACAGGCGTAGAGCAGGGCATCCCGCACCGTATACCCGACCTTTAACACCCAGACTAACGTGACATGGCTCAAAATCGTTGTCAATGGCCAGCGAAGATGTATTCAGTCTCTGTAATCTTTCATATTCCTTTCTACCATTACCCATTCTGTTTCACTCTTATACTTGTCAAACTCTATTGATTCTCTTCACTCATCTTCTTGTCTACCTTTGTGTGCTATTTGGAACGTGGCAACTCGAAGTGGTGCACTTCGGTGCCAAGTTCTATGTTGAATCCAGACAGACAGACTAACGTCTCGACGGCGCCATAGGTGGCTCAAGTTGATGTATGCCACCCTAACTTTCATTATACGTTTGGAAATCTCATCCGTCACCCCTCCGCCAGCACTCACACAACTACCCAGATACACAAACTTATCATCAACTTGAAGCGGTTCACCCGCAAGAGTGAGGCAGGTACAGGCTCCTGCCAATCTTGTAGCAGTACTTTGCACTTAGACGACGCAAAGTACATACCATACTTACAGACACTGATCACCAACTGATTAAATGTGATTTGGGCAACCTGAAGGCTATCGTACAGTAAGACGATATCGTCTGCATACTCGAGGTCGAAAAGTCTATCTCCAGGTAGCAGATCTACACCACCTTCACGCACATCCTTCAGAGTCGACTCCAAAATGTCATCGATGGCAAAGTTAAAGAGAAATGGAGAGGTTGGGCAACCCTGTCTAACCCCACTGTTGTTTGGGAACAGTGATGATAATTGGTTGTATGCCCTCACTCTACCCGAGGTGTTGCTGTATAGGGCTTCCAAGATGTTAACAAATTTCTTAGGTACACATCTCTCTAACAGACAGTTCCATAGCACAGTTCTGTCCAACGGATCGAAGGCACCCCTAATATCACGAAACACAGCTTGTGGCGGTGTTCCAACAACTGACGAAGGGTGAACACACGATCAATGCATCCACTTTTCTCTCTAGTACATGAGTTAGCTAGCAAACGAATTAAGACTGAAATTTATTCATTTTTCCACAAACACGAGGAGATCAGTCAGACTTTTGACCAGGAAGAAGGTGTATTCACCATATCTTCACCCTTAAACATGTTCTGGAAGATAGGCATACTCAATTGCGTCCAACAATTGCCATATTTCTAGACCTGAAAGGGGCATTCGATTCCGTCAATTCAGAAGTTCTATGGCGATGTTTGTCTGTAAACGTAATACCGAGAAAATACATCTCCTCGATCAAGGCGCTCTACTTGAACCCGTACAGCCAGGTGACAGTTTACGAATAGTTGTCATCTGAAGTGTTGACAACCAGTGGTGCCCGTCAGGGGTGCTCACTATCCCCACTTCTGTCTAATTTTATCATGAATGTACTAACTGACTTCAACAATTCGGGGATTGGCTTGTTACCTGTGGATAATCTCATTGATGCAGATGATATAGTCCTTCTAAGTGAGGACGTTGACATGATGCAGAGTCTTCTGAACACCTTAAGCTGAGCTGCAATCTTCGAATGTTTGGCATGCGATTCGCTCCTGTCAAATGTAAGATGATGAGCCTGCATCGACTTATTCCTAGCCTAAAGATAGGCAGGAGTAAATGGGTTGCTGAGCATGTTGACCACTTCACTTCTTTGGGAAGTTGCATTAGCCTCGTTGACAACATCTCAACACAGATAGAAAAGGCTCTTGTGGGGTATTTGTCAAATTACATCATCTCTGGCGTAGACGTGATATCCGGTTGGATGTCAACCAAAAGACGTGTGTACTGCTCTGCAATTCACCCTGCCCTCCTCTATAGCTGGCTGTGAGATATGGTCATTGGAGGTGGAAGACATAAAAAGGTCGACTAGTTGTCTTTGATCATCGGTGTCTGCGTTCTGTCTCCCGTGTTAGGTGGCATAGCACGGTGAGCAATATTCAGATTAGGCATCTGTCTAGTGCTAGGTAAGAAGGAAAAATCAATACATAAGGCTCTGAAGTTACATAGAATGAGATGGTTAGGATATGTGCTACGTATGTCTAGCCATCACCTTCGTCGACGGTCAGTGTTATCTGACTGGAATAGGATGGATCAGGTTGGAGAAGAGCTAATGGTGATGGTGGTGGTCATCAGTCAATGAAATCCACAATAGTTTAAGTCAGCCAGTCACGTAGGAAGGTGTAGGCTGTCCTGGTTGGTCGGGAGTCCTCAAGATAGTAAGGACCAGCAGCTAGAGACAGTCGGTAATATATATATATATATATATATATATATATATATATATATATATATATATATATATAGGCTGGTTCAAAATCGTTCTCAATAGCCCAGATCCATTTACTCTTTGTGATTTATCATATCCAGGGAAAGTCTGTTGTTCTTCCATATTACTACTCTTTTTACCTCATATTACTGTTTATTATCTCTTTCTGTTTTGAATGTCTTTCTTCTCTGGCTTTGTGTGGTGCATAGATGGAATGTGGCAACTGGAACAACTGTACATCTGCGCAAAGTTCTATGTTGAGACCAGTTAGTCATTCGGTTGCAGTCAAGTTTTTTATCTTATCGATAAATTAGAATCTATCCTGAAACTATGGTGATCATGCAGTGGTTGAAGTAACTGTACCAGCTACTTAGCAGTCTCATGATAAGGTACTTGAGACATGTCTAATATGGGACGGGGAGATATTCCTGTTTTTATGCACTTTCGGCAGACCATACGTGCTACCTGAGGCTTTTAGGTTTTAAAATGTTGTTGTTGTTGTTGTTAGTGATGGTGATGGTAAACTTGGTTATGTCTTTTTCTACCATCTCCGTTCGACGTTTCAATAGTTTCGGTTTCTAAAACTTGCTGTCCTTCTCTAGTATGGAATTCATCTTGTTTATGAAATCATATCTGTCCATAATTACGATACCATACCCCATATCCAGTCTGGTAATGACTGTGTTTTATTTTTTTTTTTCTTAGTCTTTTAACAGCCTTTCGATACTCCTTGGTGAGTATACCAGAAGCTATCGACTATATGTGAGAACAGATTATAGAAAGAAAATTATGCACTAATATACCTATTATTAACCTCTCCAGTTTCCTAGCCGGTCTTAAGGGTAGGAAGAGGGAGGGTTGGGCATGGGATCAGCAACCCTATCCCGAGAAGTCAATTAAATCACTACAGAGACTTCAGTGTACAAAAAAATGTACAACAAACTTATTCTTCTCTGGAATCGGTGAGACAAAGTGTCGTGGTCTGCTGGAATCCTTCGGGAAGCTAGTTAGCCGATGTTTCTTCTGATAAAAGCAATAAAGCATTTCTAACAGGTTACGTTTATCAACAGCTGCCTTCACTGCCTCCATACTGAAGATCTAATGACCGGTCAGCAAAAACAAACTCTGGGAACGAACCAACTACTAACCTATTGCTCAACCAGTATGCCGAAGTAAATGAAGATGGATCGACTTGTTACCAGGGAATAGTCTTATGGACTTAGAATATGCAGATGACATAGTCCTGTTAGGGGAGGATGATGACAAAATGCAGAGTCTTCTGAACACCTTGAGCAGCAATCTTCGTATGTTTGGCATGCGATTCGCCCCTACAAAATGTAAGATGCTGCTACAGGACTGAACCACGTCAACTCCTAACTTAGTGATAGGGAGTGAAGTGATAGAACATGTTGACCACTTCACCTATTTGGGAAGTTGTATCAGCCAGCACCAACGGACTGATTGGCGATGAAATCTCATCACGGATCCGAAAAGCTCGAGCTGCTTTCGCTGACTTACACCATCTCTGGCGTAGGCGTGACATCCGGTTATCAACCAAGGGACGTGTGTACTGCTCAGCAGTTCGCTCCGTCCTTCTCTATGGCTCTGAAACATGGCCAATACGCGTTGAAGACATGAAAAGGTTGACTGCTTTCGATCATAGATGTCTGCGATCTCTGTCTCACGTTAGGTGGTTTCACAAGATAAGTAATGTTGACGTTAGGCGTAGAGTGTTGGGCAAAGAGGGAAAATCAATCGACGAGGCTATAAAGTTACATAGACTGAGATGGCTAGGTCACGTGCTGCGCATGCCTAACCATCGCCTCCCCCGACGGGCATTACTAGCTAGCTGATATAGGTGCAGGTTGGAAAAGAGCCAGTGGTGGCTAAACAAAAACATGGCCTCATCAATCCATGAAATCCTTGACAGTTAAACTGAGTCAGTCAGTCAGGTAGGGAGATGCAGACTCCCGGGTTGGGGCCCTCAGGACTCTAGGAATCAATGGCTGGAGACAATAGGTGACATGGCTCAAAGTGATCGTTGTCAATGGCCAGCGAAGATGTATTCAGTCTCTGTAATCTTTCATATTCCTTTCTACCATTACCAATTCTGTTTCACTCTTATACTTGTCAGACTGTATTGATTCTCTTCACTCATCTTCTTGTCTACCTCTGTGTGGTATTTGGAACGTGGCAACTCGAACTGGTGCACTTCGGTGCCAAGTTCTATGTTGAATCCAGACAGGATCTGACCCATGCTGAGGAGACCGTTGAATGTCATTACACACCAGGTCATCGCTCGAGTGGAAACCAAGCAGGAAACGACAAGTAGGGCGACTAAAAAAGAGACATGGAGGAGACACTGTGGGAAATCGTGCAGCCAGATGAAGAGGACCTCAGATAATAAGACAAAATGGAGATGTACTGTTGAAGCTGTAAAGTCCACTTGGAGCCCAAGGGAACAATAATAATAATTTCCTATTATTAACCTGAAACAACTACTGCTTAAATATACAACGAATGTTCATTCTCTGTTTAATAATGAAATACACAAACGGGTTGTTGGGGTGTATCCATGGTATGGATTGCCACTAGGTCCTCTATTTATGAACACAGTTCTAGCGAAACTAGAAAATGGTGCCTTGATCTATCTGTCTGCTTTCGACATAGAACTTTGCACAGATCTGCAACAGTTCAAGTCGCCACACTCCATGTACCACACAAAGCTACAGAAGAAAGTAGAAGAAATGCATAATAGAGACAGTAGACAGGGATATGAGACAAAGGAATAGAGTAATAATCAAGAACAATACAGTTTCATTGAAAATCATAAGTTACAAGGAGTGGATGGATCTGCGCCTGCCATTGACAACGATCACTTTTAGCCATATCACTGATTGCCTCCAGCCTTTATTAGTTTTTACCATCCCCAGGACCCCAACCAGGAAGTCTACACCTCCCTACGTGGCTTAAACTAACTGTTGTTTATTTCTCATTGATTGATGCCCCCATATTTTGGTTTGACCACCAACACCGCTAGTTCTTTTCTCGCCTGACCCCATGGTGCATTGATACATGAAGTAGTTTAAAATGGAACTGTAGTGTCATCGTGTTACATAGATGTTGACATTTTTGTAGTGTACGATGAAGGTGGTCTACAATAGTGATTCTATTCTGACCTATTCCCCAGTGGTCCATTTCACCTACAAAGGAGAATACAATGACTTTCTCTGCACTTTCTCAACATCTCATTCATTAACGAGAAGCGAAGATAAATCCATCATCTACGGCTTATAATGCCAATAGAATATGTGATACTATGAAGACGGGTGGTTTGAATCCTGTGGCGATCTAAATTTACCCTTGATCTCCAGTTGTGGTGAGAGCTGTCTACAAATCGAAATTGTAGACAAAAATTTACGTCCTGAATCGGAGTCATGAGAAAAACATGAACGAAGCTTAACCTCTAAGAAAATCACCAGCCAATCACATTGGAGTTAAAGTGTGGAAATATGATTCGCAGATATATGGCTTAACTTTCTGAGAAACGGTCACAAGCAGTACAAAATAACCTTAAGCGAGAAAACAACCGACCAAAAGAGGTTGCTTCTCGGCTGACAATTAAGCTAATAATAATGTACATAAAAATCTATAAATATCTATTGATTTTCTCAATAAACGATCTGTCGCCCGGCCCTTGTCTTCTGTTGTGTTCCATGTATTATTTTGTATATTTTTTCTTCAACTTTTTTCCTTTTTCCAATTTGTTTAGGTTCGTTATATTCTACCTGAAGATTTACACGATAGATATGAAAATTTAATATTGAAACGAGGCTTAGATTTTATGCCAGATGTAGTTGCTTGCCCTCGTCAACAGTGTGAATATCCAGTGATTTTAGACTCGGACAGTCTTGGACGTTGTCCACGTTGTGAATTAAGCTTTTGTCCTATGTGTTTAAAAACTTACCATGGTGTAGAACCTTGTAAAAATAGATTGAGGAGTATTCATAATGCATTTAGTAAGTTTTTTTTGTTTTTGCATAGTTTTTTAATCATTATTCATGCATAAATGGTTTTAATGTGTGTGTGTGTGTGTGTGGTTGTGGGGGGGGGGAGCTTATCATTTTTGTATACTATTTCGTTTATCGAGAGCCTAGACAAAAATTCCCAGCATCGTAATTATAAGGTTGGGAAAGAGTCAAGAGCGGTCAAATCAAAGCATGATATATCAGTCTATGAAGACTTTAACTGTTGGTTTGAATCATGCAGAAAGATGTAGGTTGTTATTTCATTATGCGTAAAATTTATTTTGATGAAGTCTCACAGTGCTGTTATACTGTGATATTTACGTATGTGCCTAGTCATCACCTTCCTCGACCGACAGGCAATGTTAGCGGATATAGGGGTCAGGCTGGAAGAGAGCTAGCGGCGGTCAAACGAAAACATGGCCTCACCAGTCAATGAAATCCACAACAGTTAGTTTAAGTCAGCCACCTAGGAAGGTGTAGACTTCCTGGTTGGGGTCCTCAGGACGGTAAAAACCAATGGTTGGAAACAATTGGTAATATGGCTCAAAGTGATCGTTGTCAATGGCAGGCGCAGATGCATCCACTACTTGTGACCTATGATTTCCAATGAAACTATATTGTTCTTTGGTATTACTAATCCTTTGTCTCACACCTCTGTTTACTGTTTCTACTATGCATTTCTTTTACTTTCTTCTGTTGCTTTGTGTGGTACATGGAGTGTGGTGACTTGAACTGGTGCACATCGGTGCAAAGTTCTATGTCGAATGCAGACAGACAGATATTTACTGATGACCATGTTTCGAGCACAATTTATTGCCCCCTCATAATCATATCAAGGCACTACTCACACAACTTTATGGATAGCTGTGAATATATTGCTTTAAATACGTTTAGTCCTACTCTAAAAATATCGTGGAGATATATGGATGACACTTTCATCACACACAGTGTTAGAAACAGAACATACCTCTAGCTTCTCCCCACACATATAAGCTCACTAGTGTAGTAAAGGGAATAAAATTCACATTTGAATCGGTAAATGAACAAGAAGAATTAGCCATGATGTTGGAGTGTAAAATAAAACGAACGCATTCAGCTAATAGATATTTAGACTTTAATTCATCTCATCCGTTATCTGTCTGTGAAGGCAGGCGGCTTAGTTAAGTGTCTAACTAACGGAGCACAACAGCACTAATTAGTACAAGAAAAGACCTAAATGCTGAAATAAAACAGATAGAAGAATAGCTGGTTGGTGTTAAATAACTAACTATCCTATAAAATTCATTAAGAAGATAAGAAAGGACCAAAAGCAAAATAAAAGTGATGGTGAAACTAATAATTATGACATAAATAAGAGAGAATATAAAGCATCTACAGTTATACTGTGGTGAGAGCAGGCCGTGAGAAAATATGAGCAAGGCTGATTCAACAACCAATCAGATGACTGCGCTTGTCTACTTGCATAAGCTATAATAATGTAGGTGAAATATGTATAAATACGTGTTGATTTTCATAATAAAAGGATCTGTTGCCTGGCCCTTGTCTTCTGTTGTTACATTTGGTGTCGCTGCCTACCGACAAATGGAAAGCCTATGCCCTGCTGTTTTTGATGGAGACATATGGATCTTCGGGCAGGACTTCAAGGCTTCTGCGCAGTTGAGTGGCGTTAAAGATCTGTCAGCGATGGAGCTGCTACTTGGGACGCTGCTGGGAGGTCGGGTGAAAGCAGCATATGAAAGTGTGAGACGAAATACTGACGAATGTTCGACAGGGTCAGGCAAACAGTTTCCAAAGTGGGAAGGACCACATATGGTCACTTCGAGATGGGATTACGTGGACACAATCGCAATGACGAACAATGAGAGGCGCGTGAACGTCAGCGAGCTCCAGAAATGGATACAGCGAGACAAGCCAACGATGACGCCTGCACCAAGTAGATCAAGCCGACTTCAGTCGCACGTATTTGACGGGGGGACGAGTGTGGTGAGAGCAGGCCGTGAGAAAATATGAGCAAGGCTGATTCAACAACCAATCACAGCAAAGTTAACGTGGCAAACTATGATTCGCAGATAGAGAACTCTATTTGTCGAGGAATCCCGAAACAACCAATCAGAAGCCTGCGTTTGTCTGCCTAACTTCTGATAAACAACCAATCAGATGACTGCGCTTGTCTACTTGCATAAGCTATAATAATGTAGGTGAAATATGTATAAATACGTGTTGATTTTCATAGTAAAACGATCTGTTGCCTGGCCCTTGTCTTCTGTTGTTACAATACCATATAATGAGGGGACATCTGAGACCCTACGTAGGATTTTGAATAAAGCAGGAATTAAAGTGGCATTTAAACCTACAAACTCACTCAGAGACAAGCTCTGTAGGCTAAAAGACCCGGTGGATCCAATTATGCAAAATACCCTGCAATGACTTTCAGTGAGGTCAACTACATAGGTCAGTCAAACTAAATAGATCAGGAGTAGTCAGATTATGAGAAAATAAGAATTTAGCTAAGGTAAGAATGATTGATCCCATGGAGATAAGTAATTCAGAAAAAGCTCAGCAACCGCACTGCATGCACTAATACACAACCACACAGTAGGGTGGGTGGGACAGAGTCAAAATTCTAGAAATTAATATAGATAGGTGGAGAGTGAGAAAGATTGCCTCCAAAGCCTCAGGATGGTCGGGGGTGGTTGTCTTGCACTGCGGGTTGGCCACCCCTCCGTACACCTCTTAAAATGCTCCCATATGACCGGGCGTCTTACATAGCCTCTCCTGAGGAAGTCCTACTCACTGCCTTCACGTGGCGGAGGTGTTTATTTCACCGAAGTGAGAGGGCAAAAGCAGATGCCCGGCGCTCTTCACCGGGTTGACTGTCTATTGGATGACAGTCTAGGGGAGATGGCTAAACCCTGATTCCAAACCTCCAACGACTGGTGTATGAAGCTCACCGGAGTTCACCGGCAGACGTATGGACAAAGGGCTTATTGGATGCCCTGAGTGTCTGGCCCCATTCAAAAAGGCATATGAACCGGACTCCGGTCACCGGCTGGCCCAATGGATAATGGACTCCCTACTCCACTCCTACTGCCTTGTAGGTCACACTTGGTTGTGTAAAGGCTAGAGCTGCACTCTCAAACAAAAGGCCGAGCGATTCTGGGGACATCACTCGTACCCAATTCCCATGAAACTTCATCAACTCTCTTACAAACATTCGAGATGTTCATGAAGCCGGTTCATCCTCCCGTAGGAGATAGCCGAAGTAAAGAAGAAGAAGAAGAAAGAAGAGTGAGAGAGATTGATTTCTGAATCCTGGTTCATCAAATAATCTACACCCAACACAACACATGCAATAGAAGTGACTCAATGCAAATAGCAGAGATATGGAAGATATTACTACCACCAGTCAAATCAGAGAGTAACAAATAGTGTTAAAATGTATTCAATTCACACTATAACATTCTAACAAGGTATTTATTTATTTTACTATAAAAACACTCGTCTTATTTCCCATCTTATTGTATTTGAGTGATAACACTCATATTATTGTTTCTGAATTTACTTTATTTTATATTGATTTTATACAAACGTCTAATCATCAATTTTTACTCATGTATATATAAATGAAGCAAGAAAGTGAGTAGTGCCTTGACATGATTGTGAACAGTAATAAATTGTGCTCAAAATGTGGTTGGTCATCAGTAAAGATTACTTACTGTATAACAAACACTGTGTGTGATTTTATCAAAATAAATTTTACCCATAATGGAATTATACTCTACCACAGTGCACAAGTTCTATTCTTATATCAATGTAGGTCGTCAGGCTGGAGATTGTGAGGGGTGACATGGCTCAAAATAGTGTACATGGGGTCACATTTATATATATATATATATATATATATACTTTCTTCTCTTGCTCTGTGTGCTAAGTGAAGTGTGAGGACATGAACTGCTGCACATCGGTGCAAATTTCTCTGTTCCAACCAGTCAGTTTATTGGGAACGCTTTTCGTGACGCGCGTGACAAGTTTCTGACCGATAAAGAAGAACTGACTGACTTAACATTGGCGTAGAAAATTCGAATTTTTTTTGTTCTTTGTTCTTAGTGCATCAGATTCCAGAAGTGATTTCAGAGTGAGGAAGGTCTGTCTAGCCTTTTCAATTCTGGTTTTGACATGCTTTATCCGTGGATTCACCTGTAGTTGAAACAATGTTGCATCACTAGATAAGTGAAGTGAAGTTAGGAAGTGACCTCTTTCAAATGTATTCCATTGATAGTGACCTGTGCTTGCTATTGTTGTTGTTCTTCACCTCTGTCCTCTATACTTTCACTTAAAGTCATGTCTTTGTCGTCTGGCTCTTCAGCCAGTTTGTTAGTTTACGCCTGTAAGTCTTTGAGTTTGTGCAACATTGGACATAAATCATCCACGTAATCTATATCTTCTAGAGGCTTCTTACCTGCTCAACGTATTCCTGTCTTGTCGTTCCCCCATGCAGGAGGTCTGTTGTCTTTCAAGAATGGAATCAATGTGGTTCAAAGTGTGAAGTTTAAGAGACTTGAAGTTAGAATAAATATGACTACGACGAAGGAGGCTTTCCAATACTTCTTCTTCACTTCACTTCGGCTATCTCCTACGGGAGGATAAGCCGGCTTCATGAACCATGAAGTTTCATGGGAATTAGGTACGAGTGATGTCCCCAGCATCGCTCGGCCTTTTGTTTGAGAGTGCAGCTCTAGCCTTTACACAACCAAGTGTGACCTACAAGGCAGTAGGAGTGGAGTAGGGAGTCCACTATCCATTGGCAGCCAGCCGGTGACCGGAGTCCGGTTCATTCGCCTTTTTGAATGGGGCCACTCATCCAGGGCATCCAATAAGCCCTTTGTCCATACGTCTGCCGGTGAGCTTCATACGCCAGTCGTTGGAGGTTTGGAATCAGGGTTTAGCCATCTCCCCTAGACTGTCATCCAATGGACAGTCAACCCGGTGAAGAGCGCCGGGCGTCCGCTTTTGCCCTCTCACTTTGGTGAGAAACACCTCCGCCACGTGAAGGCAGTGAGTAGGACTTCCTCAGGAGAGGCTATGTAAGACGCCTGGTCATATGGGAGCATTTCAAGAGGTGTACGGAGGGGTGGCCAACCCGCAGCGCAAGACACCCACCCCCGACCATCCTGAGGCTTTGGAGGCTTTCCAATACTACTTCGGATATCTAAGGGGCACTTGATTTCGCTCTTTGTTCTTATTTCCATATTTGGATGGGTATTTTCTGTCAATATCTTGATTGACTAATGTTGGAATTCACCGGTTACTGTGTTGAATGGTGGACGTGTGCTCACCTCGTAACCCGAATATCTTGGATCTGATCGCTGGTTTTTCTATAGGTGTAAGTTGATGACTGGATTCCGTTATGATGACTACTGCGTGGTCAAGGATATACCCTAAGCAACCTGAAAGACTCAGGTTCGATAACCAGTAATATGATCGATAAGTGTGTTATCGAAGAGTTTCGAATTAGGACGAAGTAAGTATATCTAGTGCTTCTCAACTTTTGAGTGATTCTTCCTCCCTTACTAATATCGGGATAGATGATGAAATCTAAATTTGAATAAATCGAAGTCTGTACAAAAAATTCAAAATATAAATAACTTTTTATCTTCATGTATTGGTTTGTGAGAATTTGATTGTTTAGAGGATCTCGTCATCAGTTGACATTGATTAAAGGACTATTGGGGGGACTCTTCTTTAGTATGCACCCTTTGAGCTGGTATTGTGAATTAGCATAAGTTGGCATTCATGGACTACTAGTCACTGGATCGGGGGGTCTCAGTGGCTAAATGGACTATCATCTTTCCCGGAAGGTCCTGGGGTTCGAATCATGATGGTAAGTGTGTACTGCTGAAGAGTCCCAAACTGGTGGGACGAAACAGCTGGCCGTTCAGTGCTCTCCCCCAGTGGTGGTTTTCCAATGTTTCTCTAACCGATATCCAGGTCATAATGAAATCCTTTAAATCTCTTTTCTTTTTTTTGCATTCACAATTCGAATAGTGTCCGCTGCAGATCGTGAAGCTAAACTACGTCAAATCAAAGAAGAAGAAGAATCAGAGAAATTGATTACAGATAACTATAAGAAATGTCCAGGTTGTTGGACACCTTGTGAAGTAAGTTTATTGTGTTCGATTATTTATTGAATTCACGTTCATATACTAATGACTGACTGACTGACTGGTTTCAACATAGAACTTTGCACCAATGTTCAGCAGTTCAAGTCACCACACTTCCACTAAGCACACAAAGCCAGAGTAGAAGAAAGTTGAAAAAAAAATGCAAAACAGAGATAGTCAACAGAGATATAAGGCAAAAGAATGACAATATGGAAGAACTATGTAGTTTTATTGTTTATTATAAGTCACAAGGTGTGGATGCATCTGCGACATTGACAACAAGGATTTGGAACCATATCACCAATTGTCTTCAGTCTTCATTGGTGTTTACCGTCCCGAAGACCTCAACCAGGAAGCCTACATCCCCTACTTGACTGGCTGGCTTAAACTAACCTGCTGTGTATTTCATTAAGTGATGAAGCCATATGTGACCACCACCATTAGCTCTTCTCCAACATCATCCTATGTCAGTCAGTTAACACTACCCATCGAGGAAGGCAAACGACGCCTAGACATGCGTAACACATGTCCTAATCGTCTCAGTTGATGTAGCTTCACAGCCTCGTCGATTGATTTTCCCTCCTTGCCTAGCTACTTGCTACAGGATGGAGTTTCGTAGAGTTTTAGTGAAAAGTTGTGACCAGTAAGTTCCAACCAGTCCAGTGTGAGGATGGATTTCCCACGGATGATATTGGTTGATGCCAGCCGCACTACAATCACGAATTGGTCAAAGTTAGAATTTATGCGTTGTTCATTGAATTGGGTTCCAATGGCTGAATGGTATACGAGCTATAGCTTGCCTTGTAACCAGAAAGTCTTGGGTTCGAGTCCTGACAGTGGATGCGTACTTCCGATGATTCCCAAACTAGGTCGAAGGAAACAGTTGTCCAGTACTCTATGTGACTGGTTTTCAATGGTTCTCTAACTGATATCAATCCGTGGTCAAACTCATCGTTAAAACTAATCTAATCCTTACAAACCAATTCATGAAAGTTACAAAATCGCCGAATAAACCCTTCACAGTGATTTCGAATTATAGATAGAAAATATGTATAGGCAACATAATTCTAAAGATGATGTAAGCAGACGTACTATTCAGTGTTAATAGAGTAACTATTTATAGTATAATCTCACCCGATGGGGGAGAGTTCAGAAACTAGGATGAACAAGAGACAAAATACAAGATAGAACAACAGAGTAAATTTGTACATATTATAATGGAGAGTTCATGGAGGTGTGGGATCGAAGTGAATAGTAAATAAAAATTATAAGACAGGTTTGCCATTTAGTAGTGCTCTTTGAGCTGGCTGGTTTAGTCGCGGATCTTTCGTCGACCCCTCTTCTGGACAACATCCTCTTTCAGTGCAATTTTTTAGCATAAAGTGAACTGATTTAAATTCATCATGAGCTGTGACATTGGTTAGAGAACCATTGGAAAACCACCACGAAGTACTGGACAGCTGCTTCGTCAGCCTAGTTTGGGACTCTTCAGCAGTACGAACCCACTCATAGCTGTCCAGTACTCCCTGACTGGTTTTCCAATGGTTCTCTAACCAATGTCACAGCTCATGATGAAATCCTGTAAGCAATCAATCAAACCAATACTTGATTTAAATTCTTCATGAGTGATAGAATACCGTCTCCCGGTAACCATCTTTAGATATGTATTGAGTTGGATTTTAAACTCTCTTGTCACATGACCTACTTTTTATTCGTTGATATATTTGGTCTATATTAACATGTTTGTTAATCGCTAGTTGATTCGCTTGAGTACCAGGCTTCTAGGCATTCTCTGGCACTTTCGATGTTTCCTCTGTCTAAAATTTCAACATTATCCTATTCATCAAACTGATGTCCATGATTATCTATATGCATTGATATGAAAGAGTATATATCATGTTTTTTTCACAGCTGATTTGTCTTCCTGGATTCTGATTTTAAGGGGACGCCCACTTTGACCGATTTAATGTCTATTACAGTTTATACATGCAGTTTATTTTGTAATTGGTATTATAATTTTATCTTCTTTTTCTGTTGTGTGGATCTTTCGGTTTGCACAATATCGAATGAAGTGATTGTGTTGGCTGTCTGGCTGGCTGGTTTGTGTACTATATCTATTTCAAACGGTCTTAATAATAATAAGGACGACGAAAGCTCAGCCGCAACTAAACCAACCAGCTCATCAGAGAACTAATTTACATGGATACAATTATTATTCATTTAATTTCACATAGTAACGAAGGTGATAATAATTTTCAACTTGATATGAAAGTTTGAAGGTATGAATATACATTACAAGGGGCTTAGAGACAAGATTACATAAGATTAGAAAATAGTCACAACGTATGCGAAATTAATATTTGATAAATGGAGAAATAATAGTTCTGATGGCGAATAAAAGGTGATAATTATTTTCAACTTGATATGAAGTACAAGAGGCTTAGAGACGCAGGGATAGAATGAATTACAGGTGTGTATAGTAAATGAGCATGGAAACAAATTGAAATCAAAATTTTTCAACTTGAAATGTAAGTTAGAAGGTGTGTGAATATAGATTACAAGAGGCATAAAAACAAAGAATTACACAGGATTAGGATATAATTGTAAAATGGTTCTTCTAAACGAATTACAAGTATGTGATCAGGAGGAGCATGGAAACAAACTTAAAATAACTGATTTTATAACTGAAAACAGAAATGGGATGAATTGAATGAAGGCAAAGAGAGAAAATTACACACACAGTCAACAAAACAACAGAAAAAACTGAAGGATAAGGGAACATACTGAATTAGGTCCACGGTAGTTGTAAAGGCCGGACTAGTTTCTTTTGAATACACAACTCCGGCTTTTCAATGCATATGGGCGAGAGCTTCCATAGTATAAAGAAGTCGGAAACACACTGACTGCCTTCGGTGGATTTTTGTTGTTTACTTTGTAAATGACCCTGAATGATGAGTCAGTTGAGATGCTGTGACAGGTATATTGATTAACGAGGCGTTCACAGTTATGGCGCTTCTGATTGAACCAGTGCCTCCTCTTTGCAGCCATGCTGGATAATATGTAGATTTGACAACTTAATAATGAGTTTAACTCAGTAAGTGAAAATCAGAATTGAGTAGAATGTGTGTTACTCAACAGAACAAAAGAAAATTATGGTTACCAGAGTAGTGAGAGATTTTTCACACTATTTTTCAAAGTCTTCTGGTTTCACCTTCGAATTAAATTTGCACAGATGTACAGCAGTTAGAGTTGCCTCACTCCACTCCATGTACCACATAAAGAAAGAGAAAAGAGCAAAAATAGAGATAATAAACAGGATGGTCAGGGGTGGGTGTCTTGCGCTGCGGGTTGGCCACCCCTCCGTACACCTCTTGAAATGCTCCCATATGACCGGGCGTCTTACATAGCTTCTCCTGAGGAAGTCCTACTCACTGCCTTCACGTGGCGGAAGTGTTTATTTCACCGAAGTGAGAGGGCAAAAGTAGATGCCCGGCGCTCTTCACCGGGTTGACTGTCTATTGGATGACAGTCTAGGGGAGATGGCTAAACCCTGATTCCAAACCTCCAACGACTGGCGTATGAAGCTCACCGGAGTTCACCGGCAGACATATGGACAAAGGGCTTATTGGATGCCCTGGATGACTGGCCCCATTCAAAAAGGCGTATGAACCGGACTCCGGTCACCGGCTGGCTGCCAATGGATAGTGGACTCCCTACTCCACTCCTACTGCCTTGTAGGTCACACTTGGTTGTGTAAAGGCTAGAGCTGCACTCTCAAACAAAAGGCCAAGCGATGCTGGGGACATCACTCGTACCCAATTCCCATGAAACTTCATGAACTCATGTTCAGGAAGCCGGCTCATCCTCCCGTAGGAGATAGCCGAAGTAAAGTAAGTAAGTAAGTGTGAGTGAGGGGAAAAACGATCGCTATATGGAAGAACAATAGAGTTTTATTGGATATGATAGGAAAATCACAAAGAGTAAATGCATCTAGGCCAGACATTGACAACAAGGATTTCGAGCCAACCATATCACCAATTGTCTCCAGTCTTCATTGGTTCTTACCATCCCGAAGACTCCAACCAGTTAGCCAGCCAGTCTACACCTCCCCACTTAGTTGGCTGGTTGGCTTAAACTAACTGTCGTGGATTTCATTGACCGATGAAGCACCACCACTAGCTCTTTTCCAATCTCATCGTATGTTAATCAGCTAACATTGCCCGTTGTCGAGGAAGGCGATCAATGGCTAGGAATGCATGTGTAACACATGCCCTAACCATCTCACTCCATCGATTTATAACTTCACAACCTCATCGATTGATTTTCCCTCCTCCTTACCTAACACTCTACTCAAACCTATCCTCAATATCACTCACCTTATTATACCACCTTACGCAGGTGATAGAATGCTAACAAAGAAGTTTGTCCGTCCTAGGAATCTGCATCACAGAGAATAATTTTAAGCTATCGGTTCTTAGCCTCCCTAGGTCTAAGGCAAAGTTCTACAATAGCGTCCTAAGGGATGTGGACGCACGAGTGACCTTGAGTCGGCCAATCAGAAAAATGGAGGATTTTTGCACAAAAAATTACGTATATTTACATAAAAAAGCATGAAAAACACATTAAACAGGGTATTTTTGTCTGATATGAGATAAAAATATGTCCGAATTTTAATGGGGAGTGTCAGTTTTTAAATTAAACCAATTCCTATACATGTATTCACCTAGATGACTAAAAGTAACTTGATTTTGAGAGCCGTTCATAGCTCTTATATTCTATTTTTGTGTCTCCCCAGAAACCTTCTACTGAATTCGTATGATTACCGGTTCTGGGATCGACATCAGAATGGTTAACTCGATGGTGTAAATATTCAAAATCCGATAATCGGTTATATGCTACCCATTCATCCGTGTGCCTGGCAAGATGAGCCTCTGAATAATAGGGAGAAGTATGTCAGCACTCCTATCTGGAATAAATCCAATAAATCTTTCCGAATCTGGGTGTCGTAAATTCACAGAGCCCAAGCGTTATTTGCTGTGGCACGTCCTTGATTGTACTTCTTCTTTATAAAGACAGTTTCATTGATATGAACGATTACATCGACTCCTCCCAACACTTGAGTATTACTATTCAACTTCCACGGCGCTAAATCTCGACAAAAGGGGAACCATTGCACAGTAGTCTGTCTGTCTGTTTCCGACATAGAACTTTGCACAAATGTGCGGAAGTTCAAGTCGCCACACTCCATGTACCACACAAACCAAGAGAAGAAAGTACAAGAAAAGCATAATAGAAACAGTGAGCAGAGGTGTGAGACAAAGGAGTAATAATGAAGAACAAAACAGTTTCATTGGAAATCATAAGTCACAAGGAGTGGATGCATCTGCGCCATTGGCAACGATTTTGAGCCATGTCACCAATTGTTTCCAACCATAGGTTTTTACCGTCCCGAGGACCCCAGCCTGGAAGTCTACACCTTCCTACGTGGCTGACTAAACTAACTGTTGTGGATTTCATTGACTGGTGCCATGTTTTTGTTTGACCGCCGCTAGCTTTTTTCCAGCCTGACCCTATATCCGCTAACATTGCTCGTCGAGGAAGGCGATAACTTGCCATACGTAACACATGTCCTAACCATCTCAGTCTTTGTAACTTCACAACTTCGTCGATTGATTTCCCCTGTTTACCTAGAACTCGACGCCTAACCTCAATGTTGCTCACCTTATTATGCCACTTTACACGGGAAATAGAGCGCAGGCACCTATGATCAAAGACAGCTAGTCTTTTCATGTCTTCCACTCTCAGTGGCCAGGTCTCACAGCCATAAAGGAGGACGGAGCGGACTGATGAGCAGTACACCCGCCCTTTGGTCGATAGTCGAACATCTCGTCTACGCCAGAGTCGGCGTAAACTAGCAAATGCGAAACGAGCCCCTTGTATTCGTGCTGAGATTTCGTCAGAGATCAACCCGTTGGGACTGATGGTACTTCCCAAATAAGTGAAGCGGTCAACGTGCTCTACCACTTCACTTCCTATTTTTAAATTGGGCGTCAATGTAGTCCAGTCCTGTAACATCATCTTGCATTTGGCGGGAGCGAATCGCATGCCAAACATTCGTAGATTGCAGCTCAAGGTGTTTAGAAGACTCTGCATTTCGTCAGCGTCTTCGCCTAGAAGGACTATATCGTCTGCATATTCCAAGTCAACGAGATTATTCCCTGGTAGCAAGTCAATCCCTGAGTCGCTGAAGTCACTTAGGGTTAAGTCCATTAACACATCTATGATGAAGTTGAATAGAAAAGGGGATAATGGGCATCCTTGACGGACACTGCTGGTCGTCATCAGTTCAGATGACAGCTCGCCGTAAGCCCTCACCTGGCTGTATGAGTACGAGTAGAGTGCCTTAATCAGTGCAATATATTTTCTTGGAATTCCCTTTACAGCCAAGCATCTCCAGAGAACTTCCCGATCGACAGAGTCGAATGCTGCCTTTAGGTCAAGAAATATAATGACTGTTGGACGCCGGTAGGAATCTGTCGGAGGGTGAAGATATGATCAATACACCCTCTTCCTGGTCTAAAGCCTGCCTGGCTCTCTCGTGTTTGTGCTTCCCGAGCACCACTCAGTCTACGCATGATTATTGAGCCTAAGACTTTAGATACTATATTAGTCAAGCTAATCCCTCTGTGATTATCACAGGAAGACTTGTCTCCCTTCTTGTATATGGGGATAATCAGTGACTTACACCAACCCGATGGGACTTCTTCTGATTCCCAGACGCTGCCTAGTACCTCAGTTAATCCGGACAGTAAGCTGTCTCCACCGTACTTAAATACCTCTGGAGTCATTCCATCAGGTCCCGCTGCTTTGCCTAGTTTCAGATTGGTGACAGCTTTAGTAACCTCAGTTAGGGACGGAGGACCTGTGTCTATATCCCATTCAGGGAGGTGTTGGATGCTCGGAAGGTTGAGCGTGGCTGTGGGCAAATTAAACTGCTCCTCATAATGCTCTTTCCAACGATCCAGTCGTCTATCCTGGGAGCTAATTATAGTGCCATTTTTTTCCGAGATTGTCTCACTAATGATTTGTCTTCTCCCACCCGTTTCCCTGATGAGTCTAAAGAGTTGCCTGGTGTTGCCTATCCTCGAAGCTTTCTCCATCTCTTTGGCTTTTGTCGCCCACCACTGTTCACGGTCCTTGCGGAGACTTTTCGTAAGTTTCCTCTTGTGCAGCTTTCGCTCCTCATTGAATTCGGAGCTCGCCGGAATAAGTCTTCTAGCATCTATCAGTTCGGATGAGGCGGTGGAGATCCAGTGGTTTTTACTCACCTTTGGGTTTACCTTATTCACAGCTTTTACAGCTGTATCTATGGCTGCCTGGATATTTTTCCAAGCTTCTTCAGGGTGAGCACAGCTGTCGAACACAGATATGTGTTTAGCTAGTTCTTCCTCAAATACGGATTTAGTTTCCTGATCGAGCTGGGGACGTGATGGTTTTACCGCCAGCTGTTTCCTACGTCCGTTCAGTCGTAAGCACACCCGAGCGCGGACCAGTGCATGGTCGGTATCTACACACGTGTTCCAGAAGGAGCGACAATCTCCTACCGACCCACGCCAACGATAGCTTATTGCTATGTGGTCTATTTGTGTCCAGCGTTGGTTTGATGAAGGGGGTCTCCAAGTCAAACAGTGTCTCTCCTTGTGTTTAAAGTTAGTGCTTACAAGAAACAAATGATTATCAGAACAGAACTGTAGGAGACGGTCACCGTTGTCGGTTCGCTGGCACGGAACTCCATAGGTGCCACCGACATCCTTCTCAGATTGACACAATTTCCCTACTTGAGCGTTAAAGTCACCAGCTAGAACGACTATGTCTGAGCGTTTAGCCTTTCCACCAAACTAGACAGCTTTTGGTAGAACTCATCCTTCGTTTCATCTGAACTGCAGTCAGTGGGGGCGTAGGCGGAGATTACGAAAAGGCATCGGCGAGTAGTGCAGTCCTTTCTCCTTCTTACTGATCCGTTCAGGCGGACAGCACACATTCGGCTATCTACCGGGATCCAGTCAAGCAATGTCTTTTCTGCCCTAGTACTCAAAGCTATCCCTACGCCAGCTAATCCTCGTGAACTAGCTGTGGCATCTCCTGACACCCTCAAGGTGAATTTTGCAGATTCAACCTGTTGGCCAGGTGGGGTTAGGTGAATAACCACACTTGGGTCTTGTATGCGTGTTTCTGAAACACAGCATACATCAATGGCTCGTGATGCCAGGGTCTTGGCTAGTGATGCTTGTTGTCCTATTTGGCAAAGTGTCCTAACATTAAGAGCTCCTATATGAAATTGGTGGCGCGGCTTTAAGAGGCTGTCGGTGGTGGTTTTTTGGCTTCCATCGTTTTTAGTGGACGCAGAGTGGAGAGGAAGTGGAGAGCTATCAAGTCGAGGAGTTGCATCAGTGGAAGGAAGGCAAGATGATAGAGATGAAGATGAAGACAAAGATGAGTGAGTAATAGAGAGGTTTCGTGTGCATTTCGGATTGTGAGGGCGATTGTTACTTCCCGGCTGCCCACACCGTGGAAGTTGGTTGCGTGACCGCAGAGCCCAGGGGACAACTGCTTGAGGCCGGTCACACGCGGCCTGTTTTTGTTCGTTTGTTTGGTGTGCCTCAGTAGCATATTTATCACTCCTGCCCTGTGACACGGCAGCAGGAAGCGCGGTCGTTGTTAATCCGGGCCACGGCCGATCCGGCATGAAATTTTGTGATTTTGTATTGGACATGATGTTGGATTGGGTAGCTGCTTTTTGTTTAACCGCTATCCAAACAACCTGCCTGGCATGGTAGAACCTCAAGAGACATAAGTCTCAGCCAGTATAGCTTGATTAGGTCATTGCGGTGTTCAAGCCCGACCACCACGTCAAGGTAGCAGCTTTCGGTCGGTCGGGTATTGCACAGTAGACGTTAATGTATTTTCTGTCTGAGCCGCAGTTGACCTCACATCGGACTTCAAAACCCAATAATGGCGAAGAAATGGTATATTCATCAAGGAAAGTTTCGATTTTTCATAGAAAGTTCTTAGAAGACAATTAACTGAGAGTTTCACTTACCAGTGCGAACATTTATTCGTTTCCTACACTCTGTACAACTAAATATATACGGAAATACGGTTGCAGGTTCACTGAAGCACCACATGTACATAGAGGAGAACGTCCAATTAATTCATTATCCAGACAGTATTGAAATAGCTGATCTAGGTGAAATTCGCATCTGAGCAGATGAACAGCCTTCATTTTCGTGCTAGAATAATGGTAAGTTTCCTCAACTAACGACTAGGAAACCTTCAAGTTCATTTAAACTTTCGCACTCCTGGGACGCTATTCTTGAACTTCGCCCTGATTGGTTCTAATTATTATTATTATTGATTTTAAGTAATTCCTGTATTTTCCTACATTCTCCTATTTTTAAATCCCCTCGCCCTCTTACCTCTCTCTCTCTCTCCCTTTCTTTTGATTATCAGAAGGTAACTGGTTGTAATAAAATGACATGTTCATATTGTCATTTATTTTTCTGTTGGATTTGCCTTGAAGTTATATACGATCGTCAAAATCCGTATTCGCATTTCTCAAAAGGAGATTGTCAAGGTCAATTGTGGAGAGAAGATGCAATTATTGAATTCGCTGAATGAGAGAGAGAATACTGATGAAGAAGCTCCTAGAGATCTTTTTTTACTTATTTATTTATTTTTTGACGTTTTTCACATTTTGTAAAGAAATACAACATAATATTTATCTTTTTATAGTAATAATAATAATAAAGATTATATTCATATTGTAACGAGTGCTACTGATAAGATTTATTAGTAGTATATGAATAGACGTTCATCGGCCGGCATAAAATCATCAAATAGCAGGGAGATACATTCGATTTCGGAGAAGGCAAATGATACAGCGCTGTGGCGATACATGGGAGACGTGAAAGGAACACAAAGAAACGCAACTCGAAGGTTTGTAAAAATGGTGCGTTGAAGATAGAGTGGTGTATATAATTTGGCTATCTGTCTGTCTGTCTGGATTCAACATAGAACTTCGCACCGAAGTGCACCAGTTCCAGTTGCCACGTTCCAAATACCACACAAAAGTAGACAAGAAGATGAGTGAAGAGAATCAATACAGTCTGACAAGTATAAGAGTGAAACAGAATGGGTAATGGTAGAAAGGAATATGAAAGATTACAGAGACTGAATACATCTGCGCTGGCCATTGACAACGATCACTTTGAGCCATGTCACCTATTGTCTCCAGCCATTGATTCCTAGAGTCAGTCCCGAGGGCCCCAACCCGGGAGTCTGCATCTCCCTACCTGACTCAGTTTAACTGTCAAGGATTTCATGGATTGATGAGGCCATGTTTTTGTTTGGCCACCACTGGCTCTTTTCCAACCTGCACCTATATCAGCTAGCTAATGCCCGTCGGGGGAGGCGATGGTTAGGCATGCGCAGCACATGACCTGGCCATCTTAGTCTATGTAACTTTATAGCCTCGTCGATTGATTTCCCCTCTTTGCCCAACACTCTACGCCTAACGTCAACATTACTTACCTTGTGAAACCACCTAACGTGAGACAGAGATCGCAGACATCTATGATCGAAAGCAGTCAACCTTTTCATGTCTTCAACGCGTATTGGCCATGTTTCAGAGCCATAGAGAAGGACGGAGCGAACTGCTGAGCAGTACACACGTCCCTTGGTTGATAACCGGATGTCACGCCTACGCCAGAGATGGTGTAAGTCAGCGAAAGCAGCTCGAGCTTTTCGGATCCGTGCTGAGATTTCATCGCCAATCAGTCCGTTGGTGCTAATACAACTTCCCGAATAGGTGAAGTGGTCAACATGTTCTATCACTTCACTCCCTATCACTAAGTTAGGAGTTGACGTGGTCCAGTCCTGTAGCAGCATCTTACATTTTGTAGGGGCGAATCGCATGCCAAACATATGAAGATTGCTGCTCAAGGTGTTCAGAAGACTCTGCATTTTGTCAGCATCCTCCCCTAACAGGACTATGTCATCTGCATATTCTAAGTCCATAGGATTATTCCCTGGTAAAAAGTCGATTCCTAAGTCGTTACGTTCAGTTTAGGATACTTCCATCAGCATATCTACGATGAAGTTAAACAGAAATGGGGAAAGTGGACATCCTTGTCGGACACCACTGATTGTTACCAATTCAGATGACAATTCCCCATAAGCCCTTACACGACTACGTGAGTTTGAATAGAGTGCCTTGATTAGTGCAATGTATTTTCTTGGCACTCCCTTCACAGTCAGACATTGCCATAGTACCTTTCGATCCACGGAGTCGAAGGCCGCCTTCAAGTCAAGAAATATGACAATTGTTGGACGCCGAAAAGTGTGTCTATGTTCTAGAATCTATCGAAGATTGAAGATATGATCTATGCACCCTCTACCTGGTCTAAAGCCTCCTTGATTTTCCCTTGTCTGTTCCTCCCGAGTTCTGCTAAGTCTATGCATGATTACTGAGCCTAGGATTTTAGAGACTATGCTCGTTAGGCTGATCCCCCTATGATTATCACACGAGGACTTGTTTCCCTTCTTGAATATCGGTATAATAAGTGACTTACCCCAGTCTGATGGCACTGTCTCTGATTCCCAGACTTTGCCTAGTACCACAGTTAATCTACAAACTAGTATGTCACCCCCATATTTAAACACCTCCGGAATAATTCCGTCGGGTCCTGCCGCTTTGCCTCGTTTCAAATTACTGATAGCTTTTGTGACCTCACTTACAGACGGCGGACCCGACCGAAAGCTGCTACCTTGACGTGGTGGTCGGGCTTGAACACCGCAATGACCTAATGAAGCTATACTGGCTGAGACTTATGTCTCTTGAGGTTCTACCATGCCAGGCAGGTTGTATGGATAGCGGTTAAACAAAAAGCAGCTACCCAATCCAACATCATGTCCAATACAAAATCACAAAATTTCATGCCGGATCGGCCGTGGCCCGGATTAACAACGGCCGCGCTTCCTGCTGTCGTGTCACAGGGCGGGAGTGATAAATCTGCTACTGAGACACACCAAACAAACAAAAACAGGCCGCGTGTGACCGGCCTCAAGCAGTTGTCCCCTGGGCTCTGCGGTCACGCATAGTACCTTTCGATCCACGGAGTCGAAGGCCGCCTTCAAGTCAAGAAATATGACAATTGTTGGACGCCGAAAAGTGTGTCTATGTTCTAGAATCTATCGAAGATTGAAGATATGATCTATGCACCCTCTACCTGGTCTAAAGCCTCCTTGATTTTCCCTTGTCTGTTCCTCCCGAGTTCTGCTAAGTCTATGCATGATTACTGAGCCTAGGATTTTAGAGACTATGCTCGTTAGGCTGATCCCCCTATGATTATCACACGAGGACTTGTTTCCCTTCTTGAATATCGGTATAATAAGTGACTTACCCCAGTCTGATGGCACTGTCTCTGATTCCCAGACTTTGCCTAGTACCACAGTTAATCTACAAACTAGTATGTCACCCCCATATTTAAACACCTCCGGAATAATTCCGTCGGGTCCTGCCGCTTTGCCTCGTTTCAAATTACTGATAGCTTTTGTGACCTCACTTACAGACGGCGGACCCGACCGAAAGCTGCTACCTTGACGTGGTGGTCGGGCTTGAACACCGCAATGACCTAATCAAGCTATACTGGCTGAGACTTATGTCTCTTGAGGTTCTACCATGCCAGGCAGGTTGTTTGGATAGCGGTTAAACAAAAAGCAGCTACCCAATCCAACATCATGTCCAATACAAAATTACAAAATTTCATGCCGGATCGGCCGTGGCCCGGATTAACAACGACCGCGCTTCCTGCTGCCGTGTCACAGGGCGGGAGTGATAAATCTGCTACTGAGACACACCAAACAAACAAAAACAGGCCGCGTGTGACCGGCCTCAAGCAGTTGTCCCCTGGGCTCTGCGGTCACGCAACCAACTTCCACGGTGTGGGCAGCCGGGAAGTAACAATCGCCCTCACAATCCGAAATGCACACGAAACCTCTCTATTACTCACTCATCTTTGTCTTCATCTTCATCTCTATCATCTTGCCTTCCTTCCACTGATGCAACTCCTCGACTTGATAGCTCTCCACTTCCTCTCCACTCTGCGTCCACTAAAAACGATGGAAGCCAAAAAACCACCACCGACAGCCTCTTAAAGCCGCGCCACCAATTTCATATAGGAGCTCTTAATGTTAGGACACTTTGCCAAATAGGACAACAAGCATCACTAGCCAAGACCCTGGCATCACGAGCCATTGATGTATGCTGTGTTTCAGAAACACGCATACAAGACCCAAGTGTGGTTATTCACCTAACCCCACCTGGCCAACAGGTTGAATCTGCAAAATTCACCTTGAGGGTGTCAGGAGATGCCACAGCTAGTTCACGAGGATTAGCTGGCGTAGGGATAGCTTTGAGTACTAGGGCAGAAAAGACATTGCTTGACTGGATCCCGGTAGATAGCCGAATGTGTGCTGTCCGCCTGAACGGATCAGTAAGAAGGAGGAAGGACTGCACTACTCGCCGATGCCTTTTCGTAATCTCCGCCTACGCCCCCACTGACTGCAGTTCAGATGAAACGAAGGATGAGTTCTACCAAAAGCTGTCTAGTTTGGTGAGAAAGGCTAAACGCTCAGACATAGTCGTTCTAGCTGGTGACTTTAACGCTCAAGTAGGGAAATTGTGTCAATCTGAGAAGGATGTCGGTGGCACCTATGGAGTTCCGTGCCAGCGAACCGACAACGGTGACCGTCTCCTACAGTTCTGCTCTGATAATCATTTGTTTCTTGTAAGCACTAACTTCAAACACAAGGAGAGACACTGTTTGACTTGGAGACCCCCTTCATCAAACCAACGCTGGACACAAATAGACCACATAGCAATAAGCTATCGTTGGCGTGGGTCGGTAGGAGATTGTCGCTCCTTCTGGAACACGTGCGTAGATACCGACCATGCACTGGTCCGCGCTCGGGTGTGCTTACGACTGAACGGACGTAGGAAACAGCTGGCGGTAAAACCATCACGTCCCCAGCTCGATCAGGAAACTAAATCCGTATTTGAGGAAGAACTAGCTAAACACATATCTGTGTTCGACAGCTGTGCTCACCCTGAAGAAGCTTGGAAAAATATCCAGGCAGCCATAGATACAGCTGTAAAAGCTGTGAATAAGGTAAACCCAAAGGTGAGTAAAAACCACTGGATCTCCACCGCCTCATCCGAACTGATAGATGCTAGAAGACTTATTCCGGCGAGCTCCGAATTCAATGAGGAGCGAAAGCTGCACAAGAGGAAACTTACGAAAAGTCTCCGCAAGGACCGTGAACAGTGGTGGGCGACAAAAGCCAAAGAGATGGAGAAAGCTTCGAGGATAGGCAACACCAGGCAACTCTTTGGACTCATCAGGGAAACGGGTGGGAGAAGACAAATCATTAGTGAGACAATCTCGGAAAAAAATGGCACTATAATTAGCTCACAGGATAGACGACTGGATCGTTGGAAAGAGCATTATGAGGAGCAGTTTAATTTGCCCACAGCCACGCTCAACCTTCCGAGCATCCAACACCTCCCTGAATGGGATATAAACACAGGTCCTCCGTCACTAACTGAGGTTACTAAAGCT